GCCTTCCCACCCTGAGAGCATCTCCAGGAGTCTGGTCCTGCTAGCAAGAGCCAGGGGCTGCTTCCTTTGCAGAGGCCAGACCTCAGTGTAGACCCACCCCATGAGTTGGGTCCTGGACGCACGGCCAGGGAGAGCAGAGACCCCCCACCCTGGTGTGTTCGGTTGTGCACTTCCTGTGGCATGAATGAATGGCACTCTGAGGGGGTGGTCAGCCTTACTGCACCCCAAACCAGCTGTGTGACCATGGGCAAGTCACTTAACCTTTCTGAACCTTGATATTCCTGTGCATACATGGGGACAATGATGGGGGTCAAAGTCTTTCTATGGTTTTGAGGTTTAAATGAAAGAATGTTAATGAGGCTTCTTCTTGGGTGGAGAGTACTGGGTTCAGCCTGAGGATTCAAGATCAACTGCCACCGTTTTCATAGGGAATAGCTGCAGGAAGCAGCTGTCAGAAGACCCACACCTTGTTCTAGCTGATCTACTCTCATGGAGCTACCTTAACAGAGAGCTCGTCCTCCATCCACCGCTCCTTCCATCCACCCCCCACCCATATACCCACACACCACCCCTCTACCCACAACCCACCCATCTACCCACCCATCCACCCTTCCTTCCATCCACCCACCCATCTATCTATCCATCCACTCCCCCATTCACCATCCATCCACCCTTCCTTCCATCCACCCACCCATCTATCCATCCATCCACCCCCCCATTCACCATCCACCCACCCTTCCTTCCATCCACCCTCCACCCACCTATCCACCATCCATCCACCCATCTATCCACCCCCCCATTCACCGTCCATCCACCCTCCACCCACCCATCTACCTCCCCATTCACCATCCATCCACCCTTCCTTCCATCCACCCACCCATCTATCCATCCATCCGCCCCCCCATTTACCATCCATCCACCCTTCCACTCACCCATCCACCCATCCATCCACCCCCCATTCAACATCCATCCACCCATCTACCACCTGTCCACCCCCCCCAT